GAAACCTTCGGGGAAGCTTCTGCAAAAGTTCGCAACGGGCCAATTACTGCGGTCGGCCGCATCGGAACAAGAGCGAGATGCAACGAGAGAGCGAGAGAGAAGAGAAGAGGCAAAGAGATCAAAAAGAACGCGAGATGTATAATTGATATTGATAAGTATAATCGGCCGATCGAAAGGAGATTGTTTATTCAATCCCTCTCCCGCTCCCTTCTCGTTGCAACTTGAGTTATTTATCAGCGCACGCTTTTATTACCGCGTGCACTTAGAAAATTAAACCACGAGTGATATTTCAACGAAATACTGTTCTCTATTATTCCTCCTTCTTCCTCTTTTTCCCTCTAATATTAGACGGTGTGTTAATGTGATTAATCTATGTTCATTTGGTGTTTCCATGCCGGACACGAAATGAATATCGCTCTAGAACGTTGGTAATTTCTGGGCATTTCAAATATGTGTGGAGATAGAAGTGCCGTTTCATCTAAAATTTACACACTTTATTTTAATAATTATTTTAATAAAATATATAATATTATATATTAATATCATATATTAATAATAAAATAATATTAAAATTAATGATCAAAATAATATTACATGTTATTATTTTAATATAAATTTATAAATTTATATAAATTTATATTTTTTAATAATAATATTGTATATAATATTATTAAAATATTATTAAAATATTAATATTATATTTTTTATTATTAATATTATGTATATTATACATTACTATTAAAATAAAATGTGTCAAGTTCAAAAGGGAAGGCATTTCTGTCTCAGTCTATACATGGAAAATCAGGTTCTTTATTCCCTGATTGCGGTCCAAATTTAATTTCCGTGCGAAAGACTCAATTCTTTATTAACGTTAAATGCGTTTCTGTAAAACTCCATTCAATAAACATTAAATTCTATTTCCTCTTGTTTGTTTTCTTGTAATTATAAATATATGTTTGCGATTTTGTAAAAGAATTTTAATGTGAAACAAATATATACATTGCGTATAGAAATTGCCGGGTATTCAAAATATTTTTTCTCTTTTCAAAAAGAACTAAAATTATATCTCGAAATCTCATATTTCGCGAGAACAAACACTCCTGAATATAACAAGGTTACAGGATGCAAGAAAATATTCCGACAAGTTTCACGTGCACGAATAATAAGGCGTTTCCGCCGGAATGGCGCGGGAGATGATAATTGAAGGATCCAAATGATACTTTGATGACCATTCCACTCTCGAGTTTTCTCGCGGGAACAGAGCTTTTTCATCGGGGGCGCGTTTCTTCAACGCACATCGACGTGGAAACGTATTTTTCCTCCTCCTCCCTACGGAACGCGGATCACTCTAGCGATAGTAATAAAGCGGCATGAGAGAAAAGAATAAAACAAGACAAAGTTTATTGCGCGCGTCCTGGAGACAGTCCTTTCTCTCTCGCGGAAAATCGTATAAAAACTGGAAGATATAGAATAATAAGAAAATTATTCTGCATGAGACTCCCTAGAATGTCTACCTATTATTACAAGCGGTACAAAAGATTAATATAATTTTAATATTAAAAATAATATTAAAAAAATAATATTAATATTAAAAAAATATTAAATCAAATTTTAAAAAATAATATTAATATTAAAATAATATTAACAAATATAAGGAGAATATAAGATAAATAAAAAAAAATTAATACACACACTCTGAGAAAAAAAATTGATTTTGTATGATATACATTTTTCATTCAATTGGATATCAAACAAATCATATCATTAATCTGTTAATAGATACGATTATTGATTTATGATAATAAATTTATATAGAAAGTGCAAGTGCAAACAATGCATTTGGCAAAATCACAATGTCAAGGGAGAAGAAAGAATAAATAACGAGCGGTATATTTTCTAATACATCTTTCTCTGTGCGATTTCCCGGGAAAATCGCTAGAGAGATACACGGTTTCATTATTACGATATAACAGCGCGAGCGAGTGTCGTCAATGGCTTCGAGATCTCGTTCCAGTCGTTACGATACGAGTTGCAGTTGACAGAACACATTTTTCTTTGCGCGGGAGGAAACAGGAAAGACGGTAGAAAGGAAAAGGGGAGACGTCGGCACACGCGACGTTTTCGCGTAATCCGACGAAAATAGACGAAGAAAATAAAGGCAATATCCCATTCGCTTTCATCTCCTGAAGATGACGGCAGGACAAAACGGCCGGCGTAAATAATACATTCGCTGGTCTAGAAAAGATGGGAGGAAAAAGAAAAGCGAGAGAGATGAAACAAGATCGCAGTCGAAGAGTCGAGCAGGAAGAACTCTAGTGTGAATTTCGTCATGCGACTAGAGTGTGAATGGAAAATGCAAACGGAGAACATCCTGAAATACAGTGAGAATTCATCTGATCTAGTCGAGAGACTCTTTAAAAAAATATTATGGCAAGCTATGTCTCTTTTACTATGAAATTTTGTCGACACTTCTCTATTATTCTCTACTTTTAGCTGAATAATTTGATTATCATCAATTAAGTTGTTCGATGTAATTTCTCTGCATAGTTCAATTTTTCTAAGAAGATATTTTTGCAAATATATATAATTTGCAAATGTATTTATAAATGTATATATAATATACATATGTAAATTCTACGCGATTTTTAATATATATATATATATATATATATATTTAAAAAAAAATATATATATATGCAATTTAAATTTAGTATTTGAATAATAAATAAAGAATCTTATATAATTCTAATAATCTAATAATACAAATAACACTTGTCTTCCTTCTAATATTCATACCGTGATTATTTTAAAATGAGAGATTTATTATATAAATTTTATAACTTTCTAATAATAATTTTTTTATAAATTACTTCGCCATTTTTCACTGGGAAAATATCATGACGTTAATAATAATTTCAGTTTTTATACGATCTCTATTTCAATTCGTTACAATCCTTCTGCGTAAAGATATCGCTATTTTTATCATTTATTAATTTGCGTTTGGTGCAAAGGACGTTTCATTTTCTCGCATAAATTTAATATTTATAAAATTAATCGATCGTATATCATTGCGCGAAAATTATCAATCAAAGATCTCTTAGATGCGCATTACTTTTGACTTTTATACGCGATTCGTCTCAACTCGCTGCAACTGACCGGTGGTCTATGAGCGAAGGCGCGAGGGAGCGCGCGAGTCGCGCGACGTGACGGCGAACAGCTGACTCTCTCACTGGGCGAATCGGCCATGCGTACGCGCGTAGTAGCCGCGACCTACCTCACTCCTCTCGCCCTCGCGCGCGCTCTTCATTCATAAATCGAGCGCGCGCCCGAATGGCAATAACTTTGCAGAAAATCGACGTAGCGGCATTTAATAAAAATGGATCTCCGGAACTGGCGATTGCGCATTTTTTTCGTTCGCCTCGTAGGTTTTTGTTCAAGAAGGTAGGAAAACTATTCAAACTTTATTCATCATATGTTAGAATAAATTATTACATCATATGTTAGAATAAAGTTTCTCTTCGATTGTGCGAGATTTAAATGATTATTAATCCTCCGGCAAATATAAAAATGTATAAAAATGTTTTAATTAAAACGCGCAAAATGTTTTATGTTATATTTTAACAGTTTGAAATTAAATACATCGAATTTGAAATTAAATACAATCGTCTCGATTTGCAATTTTGTTGCAACACAGAAAAATGCATATTGTGAAATTCTAAAAATGCATATATATATATATATATATATATATATATATATTGCTTTGCCGGCAGGCATATTTGTAGATAAATAGAGCATAAAGAGACAAGCACGTCGAAAGAAAAACTAGGTTAAAAATTATTAATAGAGTTTGAACTTTTTTTTCTGTGTTTCGAAAACTGGCTCAAATTGCGAGGTCCGTTTGCGTAGTTCTCTCGTTTTGCCTTTGTTCGCCGAGAGTTGAAAGAACACTTGAACATTTTTAATTCGAAAAGGCAGACAATCACGATTCATACAACTGTTGTTGTTTCTTCTACGTTCTTCTACGACAACGTTTTCCATTTTATCTATCATGTTTTTCTCAATGCGAAATTCTATGTAATTGCTATATGCATGCACAATTCAAATATTGATACTGTAAATAATTCGAGAACGCAGCGCGAACGCAGCGTGTTGTAGCTCAAAATAAAAGAGGGAAGTGCTCATGGAATGATCACGTACACGATCGACGATGTATTTTTTTTTAGACTCTTTTTCATTCGCTCGCGCTGTATTTTTTTTTAGACTCTTTTTCATTCGCTCGCGCGTAGTTTTCATCCATACTCGAGAATGAAAACTCTGTATTTCGTGCGAGCAGAAACGTCATAAATATTTCACGCGACACACGTATATCGTTCGCACTTCGCGGTTTTATTATTCCTCCCGCAAAAGTTACGGCCAATCTTTATTCCCGCGTGGGACTACTCATTTTAGTTACGTAAAAATGTGCGATTCTCTCAGGCAAGCCGTCCGCACTTTTTCGCTAGTTGGCGAGACGTTGTGATTTCAAGAAGGATTGGATCCAATAGCGAAAACGCATAAAATATTGTTTTCTTCTTGCAATTCATACACAAAGGCTAAAAAATTATTCAGAAAATTAAATTTCGCAACATGTGTGTGTTGCATGATGTAAACATTTTCTCAATTTATTAACATTTACGTTATAGTAAATATTTCGTAAAATTAGCTAACGTTCTTTTACTTAATTATTAGATTTTTATGATGTAGAAAATTCTTTGAAAAATGTCCAAGATTCCTCAAGATGCAAGATTGATATAACTGATTAATTAACTTATATCTCACTGCATATTTTATCACTGTTGATAGATAACAAGATTTGACAAAATTCGATAGACTTCTATTCTTTTCCTTTTCTCTCTTCTTTCTCTGTTCGTAATATCGCGCCAGTTGCCATCGATCCGATATCTCGCAGCAGCGACGACCAATGGGCACGAGTGTGAAACGAGGACAACGCATATCGAGAACCTCTCGCTTTAGTGGGGTTGTCAGTTCGTTCCCACTCGTCTTGTACGCCAGTTGTGAGAGCGACGCTGGTGCGTCGCGCGAATCTTGAGATGGCGACGAGTTGCATTCTCTGTGAACGACGCTCCGAAGACGCGCACGAGATATCATTCCACGCGTAAGGATTCTATATGTGACACATTTGAATGCGCTCTTCCATATGGTTCTGTGATATAGAAGAAAAGTAAAAGAGAGAGAGAGAGAAAGAGAGAGCGTTCGAGAGCACGCCTTTAAACGCATGCGTGTTGAGAACCTTGTACAAACCCTGTCAAAAATTCAGAGCTTTTATCAGAGTCAGATAAGTCAGAGTCATATAAATATTTCCATTTGTGAACTTAAGAAAAATTTTCTATCGGATTTTATCGAGAAAGAAACAATAATTCAAGCTTGATTCTCGCTATCTCTCTTGGCTGATATCTTAAGTGCCAATAAATCCAATGTATAAAGTTCAATAGATTTGTGTATGTCTGTGTAGGTAATAATGTAGAGAGATAAGTAATATCCAGATGAATTGATAACTTTAAATATTTTTTGTATCTCTGATCTGATTTTCTATTTTATTTTATGATTTAATACAATGTTTTAAAATGAATGAATAAGAGTGATTGACTGATTAAAAATGAAATTATCAGAAATGACGCAGATTTTCTAGCAATGTTGAATTTCATAATTATATTGGCTTTTGTGTGTATATGTGTGTGATTAATTCTCTCTTAAACAACTTATTGCCAAAGATTCTTATTTCAAGTCCATTTTTTATTAATCCAAAATAAATTTCTATTAAATATTTTTTAATTTTAATATTAAATATAGAAAGAATTCTCTCTTTAAAAGAAAAAAATTCTGCATGACATAGCATATGATTATATGTATATACAATTGATTATGTGTAATTAATATCTATAATAGTATTATCTTTGTAAATAATAACAAAATTTTACGTAATAGTCTTGTCGAGATTCTAAAAAAAGTATAAATTCTTTGAAGCTTTTTGAGAAAAATTTATCAAAATTAAAATAAATATATTAAAAATGCATATAAAAATTTATATATGTAAAATATATATAAAATTTGAACATGTGCGTTATACATTTTCATATATGCACACACTCAAATTGTATTCATAAATCTACACGAAGAAAATCATTACAAGTTACAGAGAGAACATTTCAAATATTCAACGACATAAATACATAAAAACTAACATTGTTTTCGTCCTATTTGCGTATTTTCTTTCCAGTTTTCCCGAGAATAAGGATCATCGGAAAAAATGGCTGGACGCGATTGGCAAAACTAATGCGGAAGTGCCTGCTCAATCGGCACTGTGTTCGCGTCATTTCTCACAAAGTTGTTTCACAGGCTCGAGTCTGATGGACAATGCTGTTCCAACTTTGGAACTAGACTCATATTTTTCAGCAGAAGAAGATCAATCGCAGGAAGAATTGGAAACCGAGTTATTCGTCCCAATCACAAGACCGACTGTTTCAAAGTAAGCAAATTAATTATAATAATAATTAATGAAAATAAAATAATATTTCGTAAGTGATTTAATAAATTTACTGAATGAATTTTCATATATTAATAGAAATAAAAAATTGTCAAGAAGAGAGATATCTATTTATATCATATAATTAAACTCTTTCTGTATAAAAAAACAAGAAAATTTATTCATTTTAACTGCATTTATTGCACTTAATAATTGCATTTAATAAATTTTCACTCTCTCTCTCTCTCTCTCTTTTTTCTCTTCTTTTTTTCTAAATTTGAAATATATATTGAAACATGCTTGATTAAAATATAATTACAATTATGGCACATTTATAACATGTAGCTACAAAGATTAAGTTTTGTGAAAAAATTGGTTTACGTTTGAGAGAGACAGAGAAAAAGAGATACACACACACACACACACCGTATTTACTAGTCTTTTATCTGAGGAAACATACGAAATCGCAATTTAAATTACTTGGATTAAATGTACTTAATTCTTTCGAGAATTGAATAAACAATCTAACGATTGATCTCCAACATCAATCGCGTTAATCGAGTTTCGAATTTCCCTGATCAATAAACGCGCTGTTTTCCTTTCCAAGAGGAAGGCGTATTCACATGTTGTCGGATGAGGAGATGAGGGAGACGCAGCCGATCAAGTACGTGCGCTTTCTCAAGAGCGTCAACTGGGACGAGATCTCCAAGGTGCCGGCGGAGGCAAAGATTGTCTGGGAGGTGGCGATGGAGGAATTGAAGGAGGACAACGAAAAGATAAAGCATCTGCAGGCGCACGCTCGTCAACTCAATGCGACCGTTTTAAAACTGAAGAACGCATTGAAAACGCGAAAGAAGAATAAGACCGCCGTCAAAAGATCTCTCTTAAATTAGGTTTGCGCATACAAATTTTCTTCACTCGATTATTTTATAAATTTTTTTAAAGTCCTTGTAATTCTGAAATTTGTAGGATTAATAAAAATATTAGATTCTCTCTTTATGAATTAAAATAAAATTTCCGAAGCTTACTTTAATAAATCTTCTTTTTTTACGGTTTTAATATCATAAGATTAAAATGGAATTTTCCTGAAAAAGGAGTCAATAATTAACTTTTAAATTTATATATATATATCCCTCGGTGAAAAAGAGACAGAGAGAGGGGATGATTCATTTTCCGTTAGATATTAAAGTGCAATTGCGTTTTTTCCAGCTCTCTCAGATTTATTTTCGGGACGATCGATTCGTTTGCAGTCGCAATACAAATTGCGAGGTGAAACATTGAAACGGCTCTCTCGAAGGGGGAAGTATCGCAATTACGTCGCATGAATAAGATCCACATTCTCCCCTTTTTCCCTATTATGGCGAACCAGGCTACCAGGCTAGCGAGGCTAGGCTGACAGGCTTGCCGCTGTTTGCATTCGACTGCACGACGCCCTGCAACGAAAGCAAATGCCCGTCAATGGCGGGTCCTTTCAGACAAGACAAATGCGAGCTCGCGCTCTCGCATTTGCGCTCTCTTCTTCGCGCAACAGAGGTACGTGGTGCGCGTAATACGTTTACCACCGACCACACAACCGGGGAAAATATATGGCACGAATGGAAGAAACGAAAGAGTGGAAATGAAGAACGATGTCGATGAGCAAGGGATAAAAGTTGCGTCTTTTTCACCTCTCATGATGCGTTATATTATTTGTAGATTTATATTATCGAAGTAATAATATAACGTGTATACAGGATAAATAATTACTTATTTACACGGATTGTAAAGATTAATTTATAAATTAAAATTAGATTAAACTCACGCTTAATTAGACAATAAATTGTAAATTATCAAAGTAAGCGGTGGGCCATGTAAATAAATTAAATAAATCATATATAATTATATAAATATATTAGGTTTCTGGATACATTGTTTTAATAAGTTATAACTTCACGCTTTAGCAATTATCTTTCGCTTCAATAATTATCATCATACATATGTAAAAATCTTATTAATTTGAAAGATCAAGTATATGAATGTGATGTAGAAGCTTTGTATTATGTAAATGTTTTTCGAAAGCAAAAATGTTGAATAAAAATCACTTCCAGTACGTTGGCTCGTCTCTCGTACGGAATTTCGCGGATGCAGTACGGCATGAAACAAGCGAGCGCGCCGAAAGATCAAGGAAGAAAGGATAACGTTGATAGACACATAGAAAACGAGAATAACAACGACGGTGGCGCAAACAGGGGAGGACGAGGAAGAGGGAGAAGAATCGAAATGGATTCGCGACCTTCTCCCCCAGAGAGAGAGAGAGAGAGAGAGAGAGAGAAAGAGAACACCAGCAAACCTCCGACGCAGTACTAAATCACCAGCCTCGACGGTACCATCCCTGCGGGATGACGAAGGGCAAATAAAAGAGCGCGCGCGCGAGTCCGGTCATTCGTTATATTTTATTCACGTTTCATTTCACCCGCGACCGTACCTAACACGACCGAAGAGAGCGGCCCGTAACGAGAATGGCAGTACATCATCGCGCGATGCAGCCAGAGACCCGCGATGATGCATCGCGACATCGTCTTTGAGAAAAAAAAATATCGATAGTTTCCTGGAGAGAATAATAATAATCTTAGCACATCTTAGCATTATTGAATCAATCGTTGTAGTGAGTTAAAATAATTTATAATCTATAATTCAATATATATCAAATAATTTTATATATATATATATATAATTTATATATATAATAAATATATATAATTGAAAAATTAATATGTAATTTAATATAATTAAATATAATTAATATATAATTTAATATATATAAATATATTAAATTATGCCGTAATTATGGACAATAATTATACTATATAATTATATTATATAAATATATTAATATAAATATATATATATATATATATATATAATTATAGAAAAAAAAATTTAATACACATACACACAAGGGAGGAGAGACATAACTTTTATGTGACACGTAATTAGATAATTTATAATCACGCTAAAAAGTTTGTGAGATTCGAAGACTCGAGAAAGTAATATCAGTAATAATGCATGTAATAATCAGTTTGAAAATTCAAAGATAAGATTCGGAAAATTTATACGCAAAACTCCTTACGAGATTTATTTTTGCGTGAGAAGACGGTAAACGTCGCGTATATTTGTGCCCGTGTAATATACCCACGTCCTTCTGCTTCACGTTATAAAGTCAGCTGCATAAAGATAGTAGGTCAAAAGTTTCTCTATTTTCAAACATTGCAACAACCGCCGGGAACTAGTTCTTGTCGTTGTCTTGTAACCTTCCAACAGCATTTTATATCAAGCATATGATGCATCACTTTTATCGTCGGTCTTATTGGCTGTCAGAGAAATCAAGACATATTTCGCAAAAGAGAGATAAGTTCTATTTATATCAAAGAATTCTATATATTTTCTTACACAGTCAACTTTGATTCTCAATAAATTATAGAAGAATTCTTATTTAAGCGATATTAAAATTTATTCTCAACGATATTTTATCATATCATAACAATAAATCATTAAAAAATTAAAATTATCGACGTGCTTTTTTAAAATAATATTCAAGAGATCCGTGCACAAAGAGAAGCGTTCTAGTTATCGCTTTTTGCATAACGTGAAGAATCAATGCACGTCAATAATGGCCTTTTTTAATGCGCTTATTTTTCGTTTAATCGAATTATTCTTCTTGCCTAATGTGCGTGCATGAAATGCCATAAGACCGTTTATGGTTTACGTACTTGACGAGCGCAACCGCAGTTCGCTTGTATGCAGGTGGCTGACTATCGAACGGGTGTGCTACTGAAAAGCCAACTTTACTCCGTCGTCGGACTACAAAGTACCTTATCTACTGCGAAACTACACAGGATGTAGATCCTTGTTCCAAAACTCAAATTTCCGGCATATCGCCGCCTATAATTTCGATTAAAGAGCCACATATAGGATGAGTGAATCTACTTTAAATTCGACGTATATATTTCACAGCAAGTCTGAAACGAATCTAGCAAAGACTTGTGAAAAAACAATATATATATATATATATATATATATTTATATTTTAATTTTTTATATATTTATATATGTTTACTTGTAGATAAATATATATTATAGAGTTTGAGTTTAGTTTTGAAAGTCCATATGGACTGCTAATTTCCATGCAATTCGGTCGGGTGAATATAACTAAGCTGTTTCTCATCACTACACAGTCAAAGTAATTCGATATGCTCAAGTTACAATTCTGCGCAAGATGAAATGACTTGGGTAATTCCAGCAATATGTATGTATCACTGCAACTCGCTACGTATCGAGAATATTTCGCGTAATTTCGACATAAATAAGGTTTCGCGAGATTGTTCCTGACTCTGTATTCGCTTCATTTAACTCCTTTATCCCTCCTTTTATCGAACCTTTATACATATATTTAATTTCGCATATATATGAACAGCAATTTTATGTATGTATGTATATTCAAAATTAAACATATATATTAAATATATATAAAATAATCCGATATAAAAATCAAATTTTCAAGCGAATATAAATGTCAAAAACAATTTTGGGAAATATTATTTATGTCAAAATTACGCGAAATATTTTAATAAAAAATATTGTATATATATATATATATATATATATTATATTTGTTTAATAATACATTTATATATTTGTTTAAATATAATAATAAAAAGATATATATTTATTTAATAATAAAATTTTATTCTATTTTATTTTATTTTTACGACGTATTATTTCTAACAAATATACATATATATATATATATATATATATATATATATATTATAATCTATTTTCTTTATTTTCAATTAATTCCAGATAATATTAACAAATCTTATATAAATGTTGTATAAATGTTACATAAATATTAACAATAAATGTTATATAAATGTATCTTTTTTGAAAAATCTATTTTACACATATACATATTTAACTGTATTCATAAAATGAATGGCATGCAGTTGACAAAACAAAATGTTGCAAAAATTTGACGAAGAGATTTGACCTACATACCTCCCTCGTGAATTACTCTGTACCCCTGTATGTTGAGCTTGGCAGGCCATAAAGAGAAGAGAGAAAAGAGAGAGAGAGAGAGAGAGAGAGAGAGAGGGAGGGAGGGAGAGAGAGAATAAACAACTTTTCTAATATACTCTCAATTGCCGACCAACACGCTAACGTCATGTCGCGACTGCAACAGCATCGCCTTAACGCCCATAGTTACGATAGCGTGCCCGAAATTCCGAAATTTAAACGTTGCGCGAACGACGCTCATCCATGCTGCGCGATTTTCCCCCTGTCTGATAACAGCCCTCTCCCATAAATCTGCCAGTACTATATTGCCGAGACTTTTACAATCGAGATAAACCGCTCGCACGATTTTCACCGCGTGTATTCGAAGGGACCTCGAAAGATGAAACAGTCGATGAACGCTATAATCTCACGATCGCATCGCGGTATAATTCTCGCTCCTGTTCCCGCTTATTACAGTTTAAAGCAATATATTTAATTTAATGTCGCAATATAATTTATAACTTATATTTCTAATTTTTAATATATAATATATTTTTAAATTTTAATTTGTAATATTTTTAATTTTTAATAATTCTGAATTTTGCTTTTCCTCTTTTAAACTCATAATTGATAATAATATCAACATACTTGTTGGATTTTAACTTTATAATTATATTTTCGAAGCTAATGTCTTTAATTGAATCCTAATTCCGATAACACTTCTCCCTATTTTATTTTAATAAATTTAATCTTCCGAAAATGTAGTATTTTTTATAAAGAGTAACACACATACTTGAAGAGTTTTTTCACATTTTTTTATGGAATAAAAAAGGAATATGGAATTAAAGAAGCACGTATCAAAGAGTCGCGCTAATGCTACTTAAATACCGTATAATTACCCTGATCGTGTGCGAATACTAATGTTACGAAAGATAGCACTCACCGTACATCTGCTGAATCCCATGCCGGTCGTCCTCCGGCAGCTCGTAGTTAGGGCTCAGTCCCTGATACCAGGGATACATAAGCGCTCCCTGGACCGAGCTGTGCGCCAGTCCCAGGGAATGACCGAATTCATGAGCGGCCACCGCGAACAGACTGGTACCTGAAAGAGGAAAGAACAGAGGAGAGGGATATTCAAGATTCGCTTATCTGCATGGTCTAAGCCAGCAGCCTCCCACTCACGCGCGTTCATGTTAACCGCAATATCTGTGAGCATTCCGCGCATGTGTGCGCGGAATGCGACACAAGAGGGGTGGCATACAGATTCGCAGGGCCGCGGAATTTTTATGCACTACGCAGTCTAGCCAATATTTCGCGAGGAGGGAAACATAGCGGTATAACTCTCTTTAGTAGAATAATTAAATTATTATAGAAAGTTTATACTGTATCGACGTAAATTTATTTATATTAATCATGCACACATTATATAGAATTTATATCTAATAAATGTTATATAATTTGTTATATATTTGTTATATAATTATTATATAATTTATAAGGAAACACCAAGTAATTTGAATTAAATAACATAAATCGAGAATTAAAAATGTGTGCTTGAAATTAGCTTAATTGGAGTTAATTGTTGAGAATCAAGAAGGAAATATAATGACTTCTTGATAAAACAAAATAAATTAATCTTTATATAATATTCTATTTTTTTATAGTTTATGCAGAGACAAAGATGCTGTTTATTTTTTAGAGACAAAATATTTGGAAGGATATAAAATTAACAATATCTATCATGCAACTATATGTATGTAAAATAAATTTCTCAATTTTGCATCCTACATTTTTCAAAAATCAACACTTGAGTATATATTTAAAAAATTTACTTTACTTCTTACTTTTCACGATTGCTTTAAAAGATACTCCCTCGTGAGAGAGAAGCAGCACGTATCGAAAACTTTTTGCGTGCCGAATTTTCCGGGCAATTGCATCGGGAACTACCGCCACCACCGCGGAATCTCCGCCTTCGTTTCGTTTCGCTTCGATTCGATTCCAATCCACATCGAAAAAAGTATGCTTCCAGATATGGGTTAGGATTGTAAAGCGATCGCCGATACTGGGGATTGCCGTTGCCGGAAAAATTGATAGTATCGCCGGGAGTCGTTGATAGTATCGGCGGGAGAATTCCTCGATGCCGAAATTTCATGAAAAATTCTCATCCGTAAATTCATACTCAGTTGCAAAAGATATATAGCCGCCGTGCAATTTTTCCTAGAGCTACATAAATTTCTCTAAAAAAAATTATAAAATATTTTTAAAGAGATACAATATATTTCTATATCGATAAAAAAATTTTTCTGAGAGAAGATTCCGTCCAAAATCTTAAAAAAATTAAAGAAGTAACATAAATAATACATTCATTTATTTATTTTTTCTCGATATAACGCAATATAAATTTTATATGCTTAAGTGATATCGAGTTTCTCTTAACTCAAGAATTTCCACTGATATGAATATCGGAATATTACCGAGAGATAAATGTGCAGTCTACCGTAAGGAGAAAACTTTTGCTATATTTCGCGGACATCTCTTCTCTTTCTTCTTAGGTTACTATATTCATCTCTCTCGTAAGTTAAACACACAAGAGACGTGACTAAAGACGAGACGACGAGATTCTCAAGTCGCGTAAATTTCTAATGTGTGCACCAAATTATTATATGCTTTACATTGTACAATGTTAAAGTGCGTCCACATTAACGATTGCGTGGCTAAAAAGAAATAATAAATATCATTAGATATTTATATATATATATTTTAGAGAAAAGGATTTCTATTAAAAAAAATAAAAAATATTTATCTAATCTAAAAACAATTTTTTTTTAAATTTCTATCCCTCGAAGACTTTGAATATTTCAAATGGATGTTTTAACAAGTATAATAATTTGCGGTTTGCCAAATTAATTGCAAACTCAACTGACATCTGCTCACTCGAAAGCTATTAGCCTAAATGACTGTCGCGAGTAGTATCGCCCTACACGCGAATGCTTAATAATTCTCGTTAAGCAAACGTCATTAATGGCGGCCTTCGCTTTAAATTAACCTGGTTACGACGAGAGACCGGAGAGGATGATACATATCTCGGATAGGGAACAAATGTAACCGATTTGCGAGTGGCGTTCAAGCAGTAGTTATGTCAGTTATGAATTGCTAATGACGTCCCTGCAGATTCCATCGTACTATCTTTGCAAATAGTGAGAAACTGGGATACAGTTAGATTTGCGAATTACATTGTGTGACTGATGTCTCGTGGGAGGTTTCACCTCGCTCTATGAAAATCACTAGTGACAATCAAAGCAATTATTATACCAGTTGCTTTAATTTCGCGCGATCATATTCACTTTAATATATATTTTTTTAATATTTCGAGTCGGAGAGAAATGCATGTATTTCACGGAATTTTTGGCAAATCTCGTAAATTTCGAATCTTTTGGAGACAAATTGTGGACGAAAAGAAACACAAGGAAAGAGCAGAGTAAACGGATCTCAAAGATTGTAATTTTTTTAACCGAAAGGGCGCATAGCTTTTGAAATTTTAATTCTCTCATTGAAACATTCGCTCGCAACGTGGAGAATTAATTTTCTTTAACCGTAGTACATCGATATCGCAAAGATCTTTTGATTCGATCAACGAGAACAACTCTGATAACTATCTTATTGAAATCAAACTCGACATTTATAGAGAATTTACGTACAGGGCTTTCCAAAATCGCCACTGCCTTTTTCAGTTTCATAATAAACTTAAAGATAACTAGAGTTCTTTAATAATATGTATAGAAAATTTATTATTCATTATAGAACATTTTTTTCTAATTAATTTAATCATATTAATAGATTTTAGACATTGTACTTTAAATAATTTTGCAAGTAAAATTAAAATTCTTGCATAAAATTAATTTAATAAAGTAATTTACTTAATTTAAATTATATTTCAAATTATTCTTTAATATTATTTTATATGGTATAGTAATTAATTTATATGGTATAGTAATTAAAATTCGAAAGCAAAATGTACTTTCTTTCATGTTGAGAATTTTCGTCCTTGTCACAGTCGAACAAAAGGATTTAAGCCGACAAGTCGAAACATCGCGATGTCGTGATGCCAACATAAAGTACCGAAATTAGCAATTTGAATTGCATGCAACGACTGTTAATGGAAGCGGGAGAGTCCTGTGTCGCAGTAATGTACGATGGTTATAACTATGCTACGGAAACTGTGAACGTGCCTGATATTAAGCCAGCGCGACATTAGCAATGCTCTATAAAATACGAATACCCCGATAGAGGGAAAGGACCCAAATAATAAGAATAATAATAATCCTATAGATATAATCGCGCCGAAGAAAATCCGGTTTCCGATATCGGAACGATTCGATTAATTAATACGTTTAATTAATAGCTCGAACATGGCGGCAATTAAATTAGTCTTTCTCTCTCGCCCTGAGGGTGAGAAAAATTTAACCGATGGTTTTGCCAGTACACGCAATTGCGTTTATAAAACGTTTAAAGAGGAATTTACGAGCGCACGTTGTGCTGTTACTGTTGGTAATAAACGAACGATGTTATTATTAAAAGCCTCGCTTAAAGTTAAAGTTTCGCTGAGAAAATTTTAACTCACCGCCATAAAAATATATAGTAATGATTGAACTTTAAGCGTCTAATGCGTAAGTTATGGCGAAAGTTTTAAAATGTTTGGTCGCGTAAAACTTCTCGAAGGAAAGATAGCTAACGGAGAAAATGATTTGCGTTCAAATAAAATTCTGAACTTATCGCACTTGACAGAAATTTTTCAATAAATATTAAATTATGTTTAAACATGTATATTTGTGTGTTTATATAATTACTCTAATTAATTCGAATTTATTTTCGACAATTTAATTTACTTTTCCAGAAAACAATTTTTCTGAGAATTCCGTTAAACCTTCTTTTCGTATTTGTCTAAGATTTTGTTCTAAAAAAGTCTCTCAAAAAAAATTAATTTAAATTATTTATATATGTAATTCATTAAAAATATGTATATCTATTTATTATATATATGATTTAATATTATAACTCAATGTTTTAGTATAATAATTAGTTATGTGACAACACAGTATGTATTTAATGTATTTAAGCAATATAAATCAAAATTTTAATCTGTACAAAAATTTCGCGGTCCTAAAAGAGAGAGATTATCTTTGTAAATTTTTTTTTTAACTCTTCGCACCGTCTTCGCGTTCCCTGAAGATTTTCGCTTGTAGCTTTATTTCTACAAAGCGATTTTGCGCGAGAGCAAATTAGTTCTTGCCGAGGAAAAAGCTGGTTGTACTTCGCGATGTTCGTTCGCCGTCGCTCGAAACTTCCGGCTGCGGAAAGTGGAGTATGACGCGACGCAACGCGAAGAAAATACAGAAACGTATTATGCAGAATGTTGCAACGACGTTGCAGTAATGCGGTAAAAACGATACGATGGATTGTGTTGCTGCGCTCGAGTTGCATGAGGGCGGACATATCGACTAGAATATTTCACGTCTTCCCCGCGATACTCGCGATAAATCGTCAACCGGATGTAAATCGCCCCTAATTATTCTCTGCTAATTACCCTCCCTCCAGTAATGAATCAATGAAATAAAGCCTGTTTTGGCGAAAATGAAAAGTAATTAAACGCTTGCAATAGGGAAGAGCTCCAATTTGTTATAAAATAATCGAGCTAAAAATCATCTGTTAATTCGATGTTATATATAATTTTCTACTTGCAAAAGAATTGGTAAGTCAAAATTAATAAATATTTGGCTAAAAATATCCATGTACAATAATTATCTTTTTAATGTACATTTTCTTACTATTTTCTGCAACAAAGTATTTTATACTAGATATTTTAATTTATAATTTACAAAGAGAAATATAATAATTAATAATTAATAAATATATTTCTATCAATATCCATTAATAATTAATAAATATATTTCTATTAATAGTTATTAATAATTATTATTAATAGAAATATAATTATTAATAGTACTAATATTTAATTTAGTAGCTTGTAATACATATAGAATTAATATCTTTATCACGTATAAGACTTATTAAATAATTGTTATATAATTATTATATAATTATTATATAATTGTTATAAAAACATTCTGATGTTAAAGGCAACTCTAAACGAGAAATCGCGAAAGAAACGAGGTCTATCTCGAGAAATATAAATCTAGGAGTTGCAGCACGTTAATGGGCAAACACTATTGTGCACCAGTTAGCTAATTGTCATCATAATTGCTCGATGCGATACGAATCACGCAATTAAACAACCTCGAAGAGCAAGCACGAAAGACAGATGGATTCGCTCGGTCCTGTCTATATCTTGCAAGTCATCGTCTCGATCGTGCACTAATTAAACGCAAATCGACCCATTAAGGAAATACTGTTAATCATTCCAACAGGTTGTCTGTCGCGCCTGACCTGCTCTTTCTTACTCATGCTCGTCATTAATTATAATTTAATTTATTAAATATATTCCTGAAGAAGGTATAAGGATTTAATAAATTGAATTAATTACAATTAATTCTGCATAAAAAAAGTTTTCAATCTAATAAAAAAGACGAGGGAAAATAATTAAATAATCCTACATTTAATTCACAAATATATACTCTTTGCGGAAACGCGCGACTGATAATATATGTATCTCAGAAAAATCGTTTGAAGACAAATTTCGAAAGCGATTTTTATGACGTTAGGAGAAAGGAGACAAAGGAATCGATAAAGGAGGCTCGTAAGCATTTCAAATATCCTCCTACACTGCTCATACGAATACCTTTATGCATCATATCCGGCATTTTATATCGATCCTAACGATATAACGGAGGCTTTGATAGAATCGAAGGACCGCTTTCTCGAGCGAAGCGGAACCTTTAGTTCGGACGACGTGACCACGCGTCTTGTATCGGGTGGTCGATTTGGCTCGCCGCCAAAATGCGGTTACCTCGATCGTTGCGTGAAAGTCTATCGCAGGGGATGTTGGAAGAGAAGCGGAAACATTTCGTACAGTTGGCCGAACCGATTTCGCCCGGAGCATCAATACGATTCGGACAAAAACAATTCGAGCGTGAATAGTATCCATCGCAAACAGAATTAAGTAGCTTCCGCTTGTTCCCTCCTTTGCTTTGCTACTTCAGCCGAGTTCGGAGTTCAGTTATTCGAGAGCGAGGGAGAGAGAGGATGTTGCTCAAGTTCGAGCCCGTTCGAATTGTTTCTCGATCGGAATCGGAAAATTTCTAATCCACTCACCTTCCTCGTTGCTATCGTCCTTCAGCAACCATATCTCCTCCTCGTCGAAGTGAGCGTCCCCGCCGCGATCCTTGCCCGGGAAGAACGCGTGCGCCAGGATCTGACCTCTGCCATCGAACGGATATCCATCTCCGTGATAACCCCTGAATAATGCGCAGGGAATATTACGTGGCGTTTTACCGAACAAAATTATTGGCCGCCGTGAGTTTGCATTCTATACCTATATATGGCTACTGTGGAATTATGTCACGGAATTTTCGCGTAGAATTACGTTACAATGTTATTATTATTATTATATCGTATACGGGATATCGTGCCGCCCAATATAGTGGAAATTTCAAACGCTAGTGAAACATAATTAAGCAAAATTGCCCCACGTTTCGTACCAAAGCTCGAATTTTCCAAATCCCTCGAATCCCTATCAAATGTCAAACTGACTTTTAAAATTATCTCTCCTTTTTAATATATCTAAAGTAAAGTATTTTTATTTAGTAAAGTGCACTTATTGTACATTTTGAGATGTAAAGTGCACTTACTGTTGATTTTTAGAATTACCTTTTCTCTTTTTACTTTAAAAAGTGCACTTACTGTATATTTTGAAATGTAAAGTGCACTTACTTGATTTTTAAAATTACCTTTCCTCTTTTTTACTTAAAAAATGTATAAAGTACAAAATTTTTTATTTAGTAAAGTGCATTTACCGTAAAATTCGTTATTTTTATAATGTAAATATTTTTAACGCGTAAAATGATTTATCATCGCATAAATCAGATGAAAATATGTAAATATAAACTGCAATTTACATATTAAACTTACCGATGGAAGTAGACCAGGATGTCGGCGTGGTCGCTGTTGATCTCTTGAAAGGTGAGTTTCGAATTTCTAGCCCAAAGGTTGAGAGCCTTGCTCAATTCCAGTCGGACCCCGCCTGTGTCCAGACCGCTGGGCTGCTCGGATCTCAAACTGCAACAGAAACGGGAGAAACGTCCCCTTGTAAGAAATCAATTAATCGATTAATCGACGATATGAAGGACGTATGGTGACATAAATAGGGAACATTTGCTCAGCGTTCGCCAAGACGATTCCCGATAAACGCTGAGCAAACCCCCACTGATCGATTACGCCCGCTCCGCTCAAGTGTTTGCCTTATTATCAATTATACCTACACGCGACCGCTACGTAAAGACGAAGGAAATGCGTCATACATGTGACATTTTAAGATTGTCAACATTAAAGTTTGAACGTAATTATACGATAAGATAATGTTTATACAGTGCGTACTTTATAATTTATACATACATGATATATAAATGAGCTGGAAAAGTAAAGTTATGGTTTCCGTATTTTTACTAATTTGTATTTCTTTTGAATTTTCTATTTTTTGTTTAAATAAAATAAATCTTAAATTTTCAAATTATCGTTTGTTAGAGAAAATATGAGTTTTCCATGACGCGGTTAATTTTAATTTCGAATGTAATTTTTCGAGTGAAAAAAAATTTAATCGCGCGCTCGATTAAATAACGAAATCTCTTATATTTCTAAAATAGCTTGTAAATAAATCATATTACGGGCATAAACTTTGCAAAGATATATAATTAAATCTCATTTAAAAGCAAAATCTTTCATCCCCGCTTATTCATCGTCGCAATTTTCCCGATTTAAGTCGCTCTTCTGCGAAACTTCGCAATTACACTTCGCGCACAAGAAACCACTGTCTCGTTCTCGGCGAACTTACTATTTACACGAGGTCAGAGAAGTAAAACAGCCGTAAGTTTCTCGCGGGAGACGCGAATATTTCGCTGAGTTCGGCAAGGTACGGAAGATACGAAAAGTTTCCCAGTTGAAGAGACGCGGATCATCTCTTTTTTGTTTTCGGGAAACGCTCCAGATGCACGTTTTCCAAATAACATTAGCATTTGTGTATTCGCGAGGCTGATGCGGCAGCGTTAAATTAATTGAAAGTATCGCTGCTCTTTGAAGCCGCCGCTTTCCGTATCATGATTTTGACTTTTGAAGTAAACAAATTAATCATTTCGCGATGAATGACCTCGATTATTTTTAATGACCTCCCCCTATATAATTAGTGCGTATCGCGAGGAGAAATGTTTGCGATATCTTTTAGTTATTCGATGAAACACGGATAAAGATAATTCTGCAATCTCGAATATTGCTCTTTTATTTATTTATAAAACTCGGGGAAAAGAGAATTCTGTAATCTAGAATATTGCTCTTTTATTTACGAAACTCGGAAAAAAAGAGAATTTTGCAATGCACCGAATCTTTTGCGTTAAATTCTTTAACGGCAATCATTTTTTCCGTTCAAATATTTTTATATTTTCAAAAATAACAGAGATTTTGTTATAGTGAATTATATAAACATTCAATACATAATAATTTTAGAAGAGAACTTTTATATTTCACTTAATCATTAAATATCTTTATCTACTTGGATTACAATTCAATTATAATTCCGCAATTTTTCTTATTCCATTAAATTAATTATTTTTAATAAACATGTTATTCTACATATTTATATTTTTATTAAGATCAAAGTTTCTCTTTCATAAATTTTATTCAAAATATTATTTCTATTTTATTTTTATTATATAATTAATCAAAAAGTACGACTTTTTCCATTCATTTAATCGTATAACTTTGCCATTCGTTTAATTCCGATCGCATTTATTATACAAACGAAACGCACCGCGTACCGTACGTCAATATCAAATGAAACGACCACGCATTAACTCTCATCCGACTTTTGATGAAGCGATTCGAATCGCGTCAATACGCGCGATTTACGTCAATAGAAAGCCGGCCACGACGATTTACATTATTAACGGCCATCCAACGGTAATATTGGAAACGGGGTCCGGCAATATCAACGATGATGACTGCGCATCATCTCGTTGCCTGTTTTACTAAAACGATCAACATATCGTTTAATTAGGCAAATCGATGCGACACTGATCGATACACTTGGACGTATTTCCCGATAAGCGAATCGATGCGTTTCCGATGAGATCTCGCGCGATTCCGGCCAGTGTTCATAATGACCTCAACTTCCCGTACAGTCCTCTTGCCGGGAATACGCGTAATAATTCTCGTCGGACAGTTTGCGAATATGCATCTGGTTCAAAGTTTAGCCCATGCATCCAGAAATTTCGAAAAAATTCAGATTTCTGGAAATAGAATTTAAAAAATTGAATCTTCTCTTCACATGTGTGCGCACGTTTTGAATACGCTTTAAAATTGAACTTTAACAGAGTTTTATTTAAATATTATTAAAAAAATTTACTGAAAATTCCCAGTTCTTCCATGTATTTTTGTCCAAAATCCTAGATAGAGAGAATATTTTAGAAATTTTTTGACGCAAGTTTTTAAAATAAATTTTTATATTATGCGTTTTCTAATCTTCTTCCCCTAAAGGAAGGAAAAACATAATATTATATAGGATTCAAATATCAGATTTACAAATGTGTTGAAAATGAATTAAATAGCTTTCGTAACATTTTTTGCACTTAACATTTCCATTTTTTATTACAAAACATTACAAAGAAAAATATTTACTGCATATTCAATATTTTGTAAAAATATTAAAATATATGCAGAGATAAATATACGTTTATAATGTATTTTAAACACGTAATTTACAACTTGGCTTATCGTATTGTTGATTGTTTACAATATAAGATTAATTAAAATTATTAAAGAAAAAATTTTTTTAAAAATTCTGAGTCTCTCAATAAAATCCAGAGAACTTCTTGACTTTTTCAGACACAAAACAATCCCTGAGAATTCCAAGTGTTCAATGTTTTTTCAAGAAACAGACATTCTGTCTAAATTCTCACATATGTAGGAATACATTTCGAGAAATTATCCCGATTCCGAGCTTGGAATTCCGATTCTTGGCAACGATCGAAACCTTGAAATGAAAACTTTAATTTTCGCGTGTATTTGCGGGACAAATCGCATGAACGCTTTCGCTTGAAATGGCGAAATTATCAGAGTTACTTTCATACGAGCAATCGGTTTAAGTACACGCAATAATAAATACATTTGCGACATGCAAACGCGATGGTTTCATAGCGGGAAGATATTATCCCCGATAAAATTCGCTATCGATCGCGTCCTCTTCCACATCGTTCTCGCGAAAACCCTTTTCTTCCTCAACGGGCGACGCTGCACTGTCTTTTCATAGTCTAGCGTATAACACGTCTTTGTAATATGTAAGAATAATAGAAGTTCGTAACAGAGTCGAGAAGAAACGCGACCTAGTAGAATAGAGATAATTGACAACGAAAAAGAAAATATGTCACGCAAAATTTTAAAGAAAGATAAAATTTAAAATAAATTTAAATCAATTAAATTAAATTTAAATAAATATAATATGTGTAAAAGAAAAAAAATGTATTCGAAAGCGGAAAATAAAAATCCTTTTTCCAATATATTATCAAACTTGAAAATCTCGTCTTTATACGCGAAATAATCAATGGCTATAGAAATTATATACATTTAATAATTGAGTACACTTTATAATACATGTATTGGAAAAAGTTTCATCGTATCCAATCAATAATGTACTGAAAACGAAGAAAGTGAAACCTTTGCTCTTTAAATCGTCCCGTATCTGACCTATAAATGAAGAAAAAAGAATCAAGCGCGCGCAATATACAGGCAATTTAACGCCCGTTAGACAGTCGACGGAGATTAATGGATGAATAGGCGTTCAGACAAATAAGTAAATTGATAGTTACGGCTCGCCTAAGATAAAATGGAGCAATATTCGTTGAGTTTGAAACGAGCTCTTTGCTAGAGCGCCAAGAGAATTTTCTCACTACCCGCCTTAATTTAAGTTTATTTAGACATCGATATAAACTTTAAATGGATGTGCAGAAATCTATCTATCGATGATATCTCAGCGTCAACATGTAGGTGGATGAAATTTTTACACATTATGTTCTTTCTCTTTCTCTCCTAAAAGAAATTTCCTAAAAATACACATAATAAAACATCCAAGATATAATTAGAAAAATAAAGGAATATTTAAATTTAAGAATAATATAGAAAAATGAGAATGAAGAAAGAAGGAAAAATACAATTTCGAGTGAAAATCGCTTTTATTTAATGACTATAATTGTTACAAGTTCTCTCTCTCTCTTTCTCTTTCTTTGATTTCTCGATGTTGCAATTAAATCTTGATGCAAGTTATCGTGTTTCGTTCTCAGTTAACAACTCATTTATCGATTCATCGATCATTTGCCTTCATCAAATGATTTACCTCGAGACTAGTTGTATCTATATATTGGACGTGTTTAATCTCGCGAATAACCGTATCCGCGTACGAGCCATTAATATCGCGCCTTCAATATCGTTTCGTATTCATTCTACGGCCAATCGGTAATGAACATCGAAAAGCGTGAATGGTATCACGATAAATATCATTTGCATCGAAAATGTAGCAAGTAATGCGGTACAGCACTCGTAAATATTTCCAAACAAATTTTGCTTTATTTACATGGTTTACAAGACCGGGAGAGAGAAACAATGCATATTTTAACCGAATTATCGCACTAAATGATAGCACGCGTTCTCTGATTATTCTGAAAAATCGACTACATATTTCATCGGCATAACTAACTCCGGCGATCAAATTCCATGCGGAATTTCGTTCGTTCAATGCAATCGAATATTTCGCCAATTAACATAAATGCGAAAATTTTGCGATGAAATCATGTATTTTTATTCGTATTAAATAAATTTTTCATATACAAAGTGTTTTATTAATTATATGTAAAGGGTATAATAAACTATCTAATTAATTAAAAGCTGAATTTTTAAATGAGAGGAATTTAAACGAAAAATTTTAATTAAATAGGTTTTTAATACATTCTCCGAGACAATATTAAAAAAAGATACGAAACGATACTTCTTATTCAAATAATGTTACTCTTTCTTACTCT